GCATTGCTATACTTTACTTGCGTTTTGGAGCACAGGTTCTGCAGGACAACTTTGTAGCTGAACTGTCAACGCACTATCATAATTATATCCTTTTATCCTGACACCTTGTTACTGAGACACTGAAGATGTTGTATAAGTGTGGATAAGACTAGTTGAAGGATTAGCATTCTACAAGCTCATACTTGATTAAAGAAAGGTTCCGTGGTCAATTATATCTAAGATTTATATTTTCAAATGGAGTACCTGGTGCAACTTGCATTTTTGGTCACTAGTAATATGGGTCTTGATATTTTATTTCCTATTTACATGTGAATAATAACATTTAATTGCATTCTCTGATATCATCATCTTGAATTATTTGGTATCATGTCCTTGACTGTTAACACCTGCAGAATTCTTATCATTCTATGGTTTATTGAACTTCTACCTATACACATTAGCCTTTGTGTATTCTCCATCGAAGAATGCCCTCTATGGTAAGTTAGCTTTGTTGCTTCTTATGACCAAATTGTGTTGCAAAAAGGTGGCATGCTATACTATTGATGGGGATATTCAAGCACTGACTCCCCCTTCATAAGCATTGGTTCTAGATGATACTCAGTATAGCAAAATGACACGTGCACTGGTGCATGGGCCATCTGTTTTTATTATGCATATCATTTTATTTGTTTACTGTTCACTGTTTATATTCTAAGAAGAGAGGTGTGTCCCTTTTATTTGAAGCTTAAGTATTTAAATATGTAAAGCACCCTGAAGTTACAGAACATGTGGTTGGGCAGTTTCCCATTAAAACATTTAGATGGGCAGAACAAGTCAGGAGACTCCAGTAGAAACAGTCGATAACAACAACTGAGAATCTAAGTGTACCTCTGATATGAGGCTGAGCAATGGATTAGTTTTGTGATCCAAAACCCCCACCACCACCACCTTTAGTGGATTGCTGCCTGACACTGAGCAATGGATTAGTTTTGTGATCCAAACCCCCCCCCCACCTTTAGTGGATTGCTACCTGACACTCAGCATCAAATGCAACATACTTCTGACTTTGAATTGCAATAAAGGCTAGTTTCAAACTGGCACAGAATAATTGGGAATTCTGGAAAGAAAAGGTTTTAGTTCTATGTATCTAGTGATAGGTTGGTATTGTGAAGTGCATTCTTTGCGAACTATAAGATGCATTAGTGGGAAAGGGTGACTGCATGGATTCCAGCTGATCCTAGCAGACTTAGTGACTTGAATGCTGTTGAGTATTATAGCATTGTATCATAGCTGACCCTAAGGGTCATTGCTTTGTTATGAAAGTACTGGGGGGGGGAGATAGTCAATAGGAAGGGGCAGTATAGATGCATCTTCAAATTGGTCTTTGATTATAAAGAAAGTGGAAACTGGCCTTGAATATTCTATTTATTTCAGTTAATTGGTTTTGGTTTGGTGTCCTACAATATTATATTGAAACTAACTGCATAATAGAAGTTGGATGTCAATCAAAAGATGTTCAGTAAAATAAAATCTGGGGTAGAGGTAATTTTTTTACTGTATTGAAAATATTTAAAATGTGGCACACTTGATTGTCTCTCCAAGTAGGAGCTGTTCTCTTGTTAAATGAACCTTTTCCCTGCAAAATCTTTTATTTAGAATCTCAGCTGAAAGACAACCCTGCCTTCTCTATGCTGAACGACTCAGATGATGATGTGATATATGGGTAAGGTTAACAAAAATGTAATTGATTCGATGTAGTCTTAATTATATACATGCAACTGTTCTGCAAAGTATGAGGAATGGGGTTTTATGTTTGACTTTGAATGTTTACTTTCCTTTAAAAAAGGACCACCTTGCAATGAGTGTTGGTTGTGTCATAAAAGGAAATCATGAGGAATTTAGTGCTTAGTGAATGTCTTGAAATAATATGCTGCAACATTTTAAGCAGCCACTATGGCTTTCCAGTGTTCCGAATCTAAATGGTTGCTGGACAATTACTAAGGGGAGGACAAAAAAAGTCGTTTCAGTTACTATCTTCAAAGACAAAAGAAGGATATGGTGGTTGTTGGCTACTTTTACAGTGGTGCCCCGCTTAACACTTACCCCGCTTGACGACGAACCCGCTTCACGATGAAGTTTTTGTGATCGCTTTTACGATCACAAAACGATGTTTTAATGGGCAAAAACCGCTTTACGAGGATCAGTTCCCTGCTTCAGGAACCGATTCTTCGCATTACGATGCTCAAAACAGCTGATCGTTGGGTTTTCAAAATGGCCGCTGGCTGTTTAAAAGGGCTCCCCACTGTGTTCAGGAAGGAATTTTTCGTTGCACAGGCATGGAAAATGGCCGCCCTATGGAGGATCTTCACTGGACCCTGAGGTATTTAGCCCATTGGAACACATTGAACCGGTTTTCAATGCATTTCAATGGGCTTTTTTATTTCGCTTGACAAGGATTTCGCTCTACAGCGATTACGCTGGGACGGATTATCCTTGTCAAGCGAGGCACCACTGTATATCCTTAAGATTAGTCTTTGATGCTGTAGATATTCTCCCAGTTGCATACAATGTGCAGTACTTCTGATTAATTTTTGTCGTGGAGAAAGCACAGCAAACTTAATTTCATCTTCTTCTTCTTTAATTATGGCCTTGTCTGCACACCTGTTTTGGAGGTCCAGTAAGTCATTTAGTGCAGTCTTCACATCCAAATGGCACATGAACCTCAAGCGAGGACTGCTCTGTTCATTCTTTTGTGAAAACATCATATTTACCTTTTCCATTTTCAGCATTCTTTTTTTTCTTGCCTGAAACTGTAGTTTTATGTTTCTTTTATCTGTAGTGTTCTCAACTATCTCTTTTTGGACAGGAGCGACTATGAAGAAATGCCCCTTCAGAATGGCCAAGCTATCAGAGCCAAATACAAAGAAGAATCGGACAGCGATTAAAGTTTGCATAGAAATGACTTGCTTTATGATAACAAGAAGCAATGTTTCCCTCAATGTTTTTGTCATGTCTACTGTCAGTACAGCCTTCTGTGAAAAGACTGTTTTTTCCTTTTCTGTTTACAAACCCAGAACTGAAGAGTTGAGGAAGGGAGGACTTGGATACAACATAAAAACAAAAGCAAAATATATATCTCTTTCTCTCTCATTTTAAAGGACAAAAGACCAACAACTAATTGTATAAAACACTTGTGATAGGATGCCACCAGGTCAGAATACTGAATCAAAGATTTACATGGAGGGAGATATTCGGGAACTTATAATTTAGTTGCAAATTTTTTCAGGTGGGGAAGTGTGTCATATTTCCAACATCTTTAAGTACCAAACCTACATTGAGGTTTAAGACTATTTGGCACTTTTTCCACTAGGAAACCTCAGTTTTTAGTTTTTTCAAGGATGGAAAGAAGATATTTTGTATTGAACTACAACTGCTACCTATGACTTGAATTCATGAAATGAAGGAGTTCTGTTTTTTCAGTTATGTGCTTTTGTGAATAATGCACAGTCATTCAGGTTTTTCTGAGATCCATGTAGTTTTATATAATTGTATAAATAGGCACAATTAGAATTGTTCCAAGGCTGCTTTTTTATATTTCAGCAACATTCAAAAATTTAGCATTTGAATCGGTCACAGATATTAGTACCTTAGCATCTTCTGCACATCTAAATGAGCAGATGATATTTTTTAATTACTGTATAGGGAACAATCTATAACTTAAAACGCACTTCTCCCTAGATCATCTTTATGAGTAAGGATATATTAAATAGCTTAACAGCTTAGAGTGTACTGGATGAGTTTTTAGGTGCACCGTTGGCTATATTTAGGTAAGACATTCTATTTATTTAATTGGGGGAGATCCAAAAAAATGGTGGTTGATCCATTTTGTTGGACTAACTCTGGGCTGGCAGAGAACTATAAAGCTTTAAGATTGTACAGAAGCACTCCGATTGGAGTGATCTGGAAAAATTATTGGAAAACAGCAATGTAATGTGATCTTACAGAGGCTACTTGAATAGTTTTTATTTCATAGCTGCCTCATGTGCTGATAACATGGGATGCATTGTCTCATTGCATGAATGTAGTGCTAGCAAATTGCTCTCTGCATGTGATAGCAATGCAGTCATGAATCCTCTTTGTGGTGACTGGACCTGCCCACAGTTGGTTCAATAAAGTTTTAATCAAAGCCGTTTTGGATCTGTTTCGGAGAGAAACATCTTTAAGTAATTCTTCAGACATACTTAAAATGTCTGCTTCTGTATACTTTGTGTGGTTTTGTTTCTTACCCATGCTGGAAGAGTACACAACGAAACCTAAGAAAAGAATACCAAAATGATATTTCCAGGCATAATTTATTGTGACTGTCTCTTTATTCACCCACTCTGCTAGCTTTGGTTTTAAATGGATTCTATGAATTGGTATCACAAAAAACTAATTGTAATGGATATCAACCTATCTAAGAGAATTTCTCTGCAGGTTTCATGTGCTTTTAGAATACCTTGCTCATATTCATAAAGAATCCTGGTAGGTTCCTGTTGCACTGACATCACAGGCTATTGTGTTGTCATTGTTAATGTGCTGTCAAATCACCTCCAATTTATGGTGACCATATGAATGAATGACCTTCAAAATTCGATGTGAAATTGATCAGCAACTTGAGATTCATGAGTTCTGTTTAAATAAGACCTCTGGTCTCTGTAACTTGGGGTCTCTTAGGGCCTTTTGCAAACCTTGTCCTAACATAACTTCAGGCAGCAAAAATGGGTCATTCTAGTTCAAGACACAGGCTGTGCTAGAAAGAACCTTTTGTCACCAACCCCCTCTTGGCGCTGACTGTTCAGTGTATTCAAGGAGGTTTGTGCAGTTATGTGCCACGAAGTTGCTTCCAATTTATGACGACCTTATGAATTAGTGACATCCAAAAGGTCCTATCTAGAGATGGGCATGCACCCCTAACAGCCCTGTTCAGATTTAAATACTCAAGGCTGTGGCATCTTTTATTGAGTCACTCCATTTCAATTTTAGTTTTTCTTTTTTCCTGTGGCCTTCAACGTCTTCCAGCACTACTGTTTTTTACAGTGAGTCTTGTCTTTTCATTATGTGCCCAACATCTTACAGCCTCAGTGTAGTATTTTTCCCTCAAGGAGGTTTTACCATGCACATAAAAGTGCTTTGGATCACACTTATGGAGAAATGTGGAATAAATATCACAAGGCTACTGATATATGAAGAAGATTAGTTCATTTATTTTTGCAGTCAATGCCCAGAATCCTGTTATTTATTTCTATTTGCATAGTTCCAACAGTGAAAACCTCAGGAGGAAAACTGCTGCCTATTAGGAAGTTGGGCCTTGTTTTCTTGTCATACAACTATTGCATGATCTGGCAGAAAAGAAAAACAAGCACCGACTTCTTAACTGGTGGCAACTTGCTGCCCATATTTACACTGTTGAAGTTACATCAGCATAAATATGTCACAGAATTACATCCACTGTCTGTGATTAAACTAAAGTTAGGATAAGGTACACTGTATTTCACATAGCAAACGTTCAATATATATTATAGTAAGGTCCATTGAGTTTAAAATCTCACTGTCACCAAAAGTCATACATCTAGTAAACCATTTCAGATGTTTTCTTCTGTGGCCTTAGCATTTTAGAGTGCTAAGATGCCACAGTGCTGTTTTTTTTTACAATAAATTAAAATCAGAACCTGGAGTGTGTTCAAAATATGAAACAGACTGAAAAACGAGAAATGTATTTTTCCTAACCTAACTCCTAGTAATGTGTAAAAAAACCTGTGCTACTCATCTTTTGATGTTTGTATTCTTTTTCCTACATTTTAAAGTGTCTAATTTGCTTAATATAAATCTAGTTTTTACACAGTGATTTTAGTTTTTATATTGTTGAAGGGAAATGAATGAATTCTTGGTGTTTTTTTTAAATTAAATGTCTCTATAGTTCATTTAGTTCAGTTTCAGGAATTTGCAAAGTGAGGAGGTTACCTTTTAAACAGTAATTAAGTTTCACTGATTTCAGTTGGAGAATAAAGATAGTTTTATCCCATTAAGTGAGGGAAAGTTAGAAGTGCTTAACTCTAGCTGTGTTCTACTACTAAATGTTGTAGGGTTTTGCAAACTGCCAAAAAAATCTCTTTTAATGTTTAACTTACAAAATTTAAACTTACAAAGTAAGTAAATGTTAAGATGCATTTTTGGATTATTGTCTTTAAACTGTTTGCCTGCCAAAGCTAAAATGGTGCCTGACTGAGTTAGGCACTTTTTAAAAACAAGGTTCTTCACTATAGAGATGAAGCAGCTGCTTTAAAAAAACATCTTCAGCAGGAGGCTGACTTTGTTTTTGTGCTGTTGAAGAGATTTAATCTCACCATGCAACTTTGAATGCTCAGAGGGAATGGGGACTATTTCTGTGTTGCTGATGAAGAACAACAAGAGGTAGTGGAGGGATCAAGTCAGAATGTGGTTGTTTTCTACTAACCAGTCTGGAGACAATATTATTTTTAGATTTACTATGCTCCAATGCTGGAAGCATTCAAGAAAAAAATCAGACAACCATACGTCAGATATATTTTGATTTGGTTTCCTGCATTGAGCAGGGAGTTGGATTCCTTGTAGGCCCTTTCCAATTCCCTTCGTTTATGGTTCTATGATTAAATCTTTATATTGATGTGATATTACAGTTGAGAAAGATGCATTGCATTCCTAGATAACAAGGAGTTATCTAAAAAGGAGATCCTCTAGCCTGGCTGTATGCTTTCCCAACAGGCAGCTAGGATAGGGTTTCCAGACGTCTGGCAAAAGGAGGACATGTCCTCCTTTTTAGCCTAATGTCCTCCGTCTGGCAGGCAAGCTAAAAAACTTTAAAATGTCTAGCTTTTGTATATGTTATTTTGGATGGGAGATGGAGAGTTGGATGGACCCCCCTCCCCCTGTCTTTCCACACCCCCACCCACCCACTGTTACCTGCCGCTGGTGCCGGAGCTCAGCCATCGCCCCCTCCCGCTGCCACTGTGGCTGGTGGGCAATCTGCCATGCCCGCATGGAGCTCAGAAAGGCAGCATGAGCAGAGTGCCGCCTGCCGAAACAGGCAGGAGCAAACAGCACCCGAGCGCATCGATGGGAAGGTAAGCAAAAGCCCAGACTGTGTTTGTTCAAAGTCCCTTTTGGACTCTCCAACTCCCACACTCCCCAGCCTGGAACTTATGACCCTCAGGAGAGGGGAGGCTGCCTCATTTGGCTTTGCCTGGTGCCGCTTTCCCCCTGCCTGTGCCAGAGCCTTGTTTGGGCATCCAGATTAGCAAGATTGCCTCTGAGCCTGTGCAGAATGTGAGGGGCCAGGGGATCCCGCAGCCGGGCCGGGATGGGTTCAGCTTTATTTGCTTTGCTCCCAATTGGAAGCTGCTGTTTCTTGGTAGGCCCCTTCCTGTTTGTTAAATGAAACATTCGCTATGTCCTCCTCTGTCCTCTTATTTGTCTTTCTATGTCCTCCTTTTGGTACCCATGTATCTGGCAGCCCTAAGCTAGGGTAGCTGTTAATGGAAGTGCCTTTTGATACGGTATGCAGTTGGTGTCAAAAAGAACAGACAACAGACCATTCCTATTGAGCTGGGCTTTTAACTGAATTCATGCTAGATCCCCTCATAACTAAATCCTGAGGAGATATTTATAGGAATCAGTCTGTTGCAGCAAAAGAAAATAGCACCTCATGTAAAACACTAGATGCTTTATTACAAATAAATGCAGGATTTGTGCTGAGAATTCACACTGAGAAGAAATGGCTTCTGTGGCATGTGTGCTTGCTTAATGTATGGTGGAAGCAAAATATATACAATAATGTACTCATTATCTCAGACAATACTGGCATTGTCTCTATTATGTTTGTGACCTCTCTGAGGTGCTTCTAGTTTATATTCATTCCATTAAAGATATCTATTAATCAGTGTTCATTTCCTCCATATGCTTGTATACCATATACCAAAAACTAGCAGGAAGAAAAGACTTAAATGCTTGTCCTTACAAGTGACAAGAAAATATAAAAACGTGCCAGTAAAAAGCTGAGAGAGCAGCAGAACTAGAGTTGTCTTGGCTGTGTGTTTTTCTTAATAGAAACTAGAAATTTTGGTGGTAATCCCCACAACCCAAAATTGTCAAATATTTTACCTTCAAAATAATCTAATCAGTGTCACTGGTTTTCCCTGATGGTGACACTGTGTGCTGCTGCTGTATCATCTATCTCCCTTGTAATAGCTGCTGCTTTGTTCCGTATTATATGTGATCCCACGCAGATGGGGATCAGGTAGTGAAGGGAAATGTCATAACTGTCATATTGCCAATCAAATCTGGCCATTTAATGACATCACGAACGGCAAGAAAGCGTTATTTTAAATATTTTTCTTTTTGTAAAAAAGAAGTCCCCCCTCCCTCCAAAGAGCTCCCCCCCCCCGCAGTACAGTGTTCATGAAAAACAGTAATTTCAACTACATTCTAAATGTCATTCAGTGGCATATACCTGGGAATAGGATATATGTTTAAAAAGTCATTAATAGTCTGTTTTTTAAACATGAGGCTTGCTATCTGATCCTGTACATATTAATTCAGAAATCTCACTGAGTTCACTGGACATTGTTCCCATGTGAAGGGCAAAGGATTGCAATCTTTCAATGGGAAAATATTAAACTGGTGACTAAGGCAAAAGGCTGGTGTGACATTTAAATGGTGTGATCCTGTGTGTTGTATTTTAGCCATATGTTCCAACTGTGCCAGTAACTGATATGATGAGGTCCTTGCATCATTGTACTTAACATTTATAAATAGATGTAAAATGAAGTAAATCTCTAGAAAATACTTTATACCAAAATATGACTAGAGCATTTTCAAAGTGGATATGTTAATGGGAAGTTGTAAATACAGTTTTGCTTTTTGGAAGGTTATGCATGATTTGTCTTAATCTGTGAACTTCATGCTTCAGGGGAAATGTTTTTAACGAACTTGAGTAACCAAGATTATTAGAGATTTCATTCCCTGAGGAGTAATACAAAATCAAGATTAAAGTTGATTTTCAGTAACTATTTGGTGCTCAAGTGCTTGGAGACTGCATAATACAATTGTGTTCAATGTGTTCATAATAAAGTTTTATACTGAATCTCTGTACCTATAAATCCTGTGTAACTTCCTGCAAATAATAAATGCCATACTTCTATTTTCCATATGTGCATATCAAATTAGTCTCACTGCTGTTAGTAAAAGCTATTGTAACAGTGAAACCGATACCCTTCTATTTATGTTCATTTATGGAGCTTTTCTTGATTTCTCGGGTTTGAAGGAGACATTGAATACCCCTCAGGAAAATGGAATCTGCTTTTTAAAATGAATTCACCTTTTTTGGATGGCACTTATTAGCACCTGAACAACCTGACATATGAATTATATGTGAATGTTAATGCTGTGAGCTGCCTTGAGTCCCTTGGTTAGGAGAAATGCGGCATACAAATAAAACTTATTATTATTATTATTTTATTTTATTATTAGACAGACAGACAGACAGACAGACAGACAGACAGACATACAGACAGACAGATAGATAGATAGATAGATAGATAGATAGATAGATAGCTAGATAGATAGATAGATAGATAGATAGATAACTATTTTCTCATGAAAAATTGTGGCTATCAGATCAGCTAATTAAAACAGATATTTGAAGTGACTTTTGTGGACAGTGGTAAAAGTTAAACAAAACATCCCACGTAATCTGTATATTCCAAACTTTTTTGCATAGGACTGGGCTAGAGACTTATGGTATTATATGCCCTCTAAGAGGATCAACAATACACCCTAAAATTAAGCCACAGATAAGCCACGTGACATTATTAGGAAGGGGCTAGGGAGAATAAGTTATGAGTTGAAAGTAAATTACAAATAAAGAGAACAATGAAAATGGTCTTTAGAAATGTTGGAGCAACAAATGGGTTTGGGCTATTAAGAATAGTTCAGTGGTTCCTATTTCTAATCTCTCTAAACATACTTAGGGCCACATGACTGTCTTGTATATGAGGGCATTACAGAATACAAAAAATCATATAACTGTATGACTGATGAATAAAGTCAGGGGGAAAAATCACTTTTGAAGTTCTTGCTGTTCAGCAAGGTCTGGAGGCTAGATTATCCCCATGACTGGTTTGGCTGATCAGATGACAAAAGGGCAGGAGTCTACTATCACAAGCCTCTTATTACTTTGGCAGGGAATTCTGTGCTCTGATAAAGAGACTCTGTTGGTCCTTGATGGTTTTATTTATTTATTTATTTATTTATTTATTTATTTACAGTATTTTATTTATATCCCGCCTCTCTGGTCAACTAAGGACCACTCTAGGCGGCTAACAGACAAAGAATAATAAAAATATACATATACAAAGCAGCAAAATAATAAAAACTTAGGAAAGATAGAAAATCAGTAGAAAGGAAAAGAACATCAGGAGTTATCTGATGGGAAGGCCTGCCAAAACATCCATGTCTTCAATTGATTTTTGAAGATACCCAGCGAGGGAACCCCGCGAATCCCAGTAGGTAGATTGTTCCAGAGGCGAGGAGCCACCGCTGAGAAGGCCTGATTTCTTGTCTTCTCCTTCTGGGCCTCCCTCGGCGTTAGGCTCCTCAGCCTCACCTCCTGGCTCGCACGAGTGACACGGGTAGATCTTGGTGGGAGTAGGCGTTCCACCAGATATTGAGGCCCTAAACCGTTTAGGGCTTTGTACGTAAGCATCAACACTTTGAAGTCGATGCAGAATCGGATGGGCAGCCAATGCAATTAGGCCAGAGTGGGCGAAATATGTTGGAATTTTTTCACTCCACTAAGTAATCTGGCCGCCGCATTCTGCACCACCTGTAGTTTCCGCAGCAACCTCAAAGGCAGCCCCACGTAGAG